ATTATCTCTGCCCCAACTTTGACCTCCTGGCCCTCGCTTGGCCCCAAGGCTGTGTGTGTGTGTGTGTGTGTGTGTGTGTGTGTGTGTGTGTGTGTGTGTGTGTGTGTGTGTGTGTGTGTGTGTGTGTCAAGAGGTGAGAGATAATCAGCTTACATTAGAACAGTGGATTGGCTCACCAGTCTACCATACACATCCCAACATACACACAACCACAAACCAAGCTATAGCCATATGAGGATACTGCACATATGGTACAAGAACATCCACTCCAAATATTCCACTATGAACCAATTCCTACTTTTAAGTCAGGATTTGCCATTTGTTACTCTGTGTATTGTTGTATATTGCCCACAGTATACACAACACCAATATATGCTCTGTTATTGTACTTAAAGATATCAAGTTCGGTTTTTAAGTTCTTTTTGTATTTGGCGTAGGATTCTTCAGTGAATCCTACGCTTTTCTCCTCTCATTTTTCCTCCTGGTGGTTATTAGAGCTAGACTGATAAATGGGGTGGGCTGCCGAACAATAAGTTACCTTGTAGAGAAAGAGACGAGGGGGCCGGTTTATATACGCTACAGAGCTAATTAAAGGAAGAGGGGCTGTGTGGAGACGGGAGGAAACACGGCTGTCTCCTAAAGCTCTCTCCCTTTACTAAATAGTGAATTATTAGTACACTCTGCCCTTTAGTTTCAGTTTCCAAACTATGATTGAATTATTATGTGCATGAAATGTATTAAGAATGAGAAATCGTTTATCCTTTCGTCCCGCATTTTACAACAGCAAAGGTAGTTTAGGTATTTTAGATAAAGAGGCAAGCACATGTTCATCTAAATAAAAACAAATCAGTAAACATCCATGGTAAAAAGAAGTACGAGTATCTAAAAGAAAATACACATGAAAGTATTGAACGAGCCAGTAACATTTACAAATGTAAAGATAACATCATTTTAAATGATCAACAATGTCAAAATGACTAGGTATTCAGCTTGGTGTCATTGTTTTATATCAGCAAGTAAGTCTATATTTGGAGCTATACATAGCATGCGTCTTGCAAGCATTCCACATATTTCCAAGACACGTAACTTTGACTTTGATGGCTGTTTGAGAACACACACCTGCTATTTGATTACCAACATAAAGTTGATGTGTGTGAAACAACAGGAATCTTGTGTGTGTGTGTGTGTGTGTGTGTGTGTGTGTGTGTGTGTGTGTGTGTGTGTGGCCTAGCATTACTATACTTGTGGGGACCTAAATCTGTTTACAGTCACGTGTGGGGACTCGCCTCCCTTATGGGGACAAAATGGAGGTCCCCATGAGGGAATTTTAGGGTGAAGACTTGGTTAGGATTAGGGTAACGGCCCGTCCACACTACAGCTTCGACAGCTTCAAAAACGGTTTCCAACGCGTCTGCCCATTCACTTTGAATGGGGTGACGTCACTTTTCGCCGAACTGCATTGTGGGAAGCTTTCCTGGCGTTTCAGGCTGCAAAAGTTGAGCAATGTTCAACTTTTGAAGCTTCTGAAGCTTTCAGTGGAAATGTCAGCCAATCAAATCATATGCCAGTACAAGCTCTAGCCAATCAAACCGCGGCTTGTGTGTCAGGGGCGGGAGATTCATGTGATTGGTTGTTGGTCGAGCTTCAGACACGCCCAGCTCCAAGCTTTTTTTGAAGCTGTAGTGTGGACGGGCCGTAAGGGTTAGGCATGTGTTATGGTTAAGGTTAGGATAAGTCTCCAGGAAATGCATGTAAGTCAATGTAAAGTCCACTGAAGTGATGTATAAATGGTATGTGTGTGTGTGTGTGTGTGTGTGTGTGTGTGTGTGTGTGGAAAAAGTTGCCCTGGAGTAATAAAAAAAAACTCATGGTTTCGAGCTCCATTATATGTGTGACAGTCATGCCATGTTTCCCCCTTTTCGTAAATGTTCACATGATTGTCTTTAAACTGGACCCCGAGGACAAGAGAAGTGGGGGCCCCTCACTCTGTCCTACTGACTGAGTGACTGTAGTGAGTGACTTTGTGAGACCTGTTACACAAGTGGACAGTTAGGTGTTGCTTAATACGTCTGCGCAACAGACTATATGTACTATATACTTATTTATAACATGAGTTAGTTGAATAGTCGGTCGGTGTGTGTGTGTGTGTGTGTGTACCACTTTAGGTGGGTAGCTGCACACACATACACACCATTTCTGCTTTTGCTATATAAAACTAGATACCTGATGATATAACCCTTGTTTATAAGATTATTTCTGGTGTCGCCTTACATTCCCAAGAGTATCTCTGCACAGCCGAAGAGAACATGACTGAACCTGTTGGGTTGAGCTAAGATACAGAACATGTGTAGGTGGGGAGAGAAGAGGCAATGAAAGATGTCATGGTAATGAACGAAAGGAAAATAACTGCACCGAGTATTTTATATCAAAACATGCCACACAGCTCTGTTGTATCCTGGTCTCTATCACTGTTCGGTGTTGATGTGGGAATCAAAATAAGTGCTTCCCTTTTTGCCCTAGAGATCCGGCAGCTATACAGACAAATAGATACAATTATATAATATAATGTCTTAGACCTGATGTGACCAAGTATCCATCACCTAATTCATTTGAAATGGAGCAGACCAATCAGCCAATAAATGATCACACATTAGTACACGGCTTAGTTTAATAATGGTCAATTTAGACCACTCAGATGCTATTTTTTGCTAGCAGACCGTTGCTAAGGAGAATCAAGGGACTATGTGCAGTCATATCAATCCGCAGAAATAAGTCCGCTCAATTTCACGTCAGCTGTGGACAACAAACATTAGTTTTCATCCATCAGGAAACTCTAACATCTCCATGCCCTCGCCCCCCAATACCTGTCTGACCTTCTCCGCTACCACACTCCATCCCGGAAGCTAAGATCATCTGGACAGGATCTCCTCTCCACCCCCCGCACCAGGTTGCGGACTTTTGGTGACAGAGCCTTCAGTGTGGCATCCCCCACCCTCTGGAACTCTCTCCCCCCCGAAATCCGCAGCGCCCCAACCCTGGACATTTTCAAAAAAGCCCTCAAAACGCACCTTTTGACCAAGGCTTTCGCCACTGTATAGTTAGTTTAATAGGTTTATTTTTCCGCTACTTCCCCCCCCCCCCCCCCCCCTTAACCTGTCTGCCTTTTTTCCCCTACTACCCCCCCCCCCTACCCGACTTGTAAAGCGACCTTGGGTTTCCTGAAAGGCGCTATAAAAATATTATATATTATTATTAGTATTATTATTACTAAGGCAAACAGCAGAAGAAGACGGACAGAAAGTAAACACTATGTGTGGGCTCTTGCAGTGTTTGAAGAATGACTGACCGCCTCGCTGCACATTATTCCATACCTGTTATCGTAAAGCAATTCATAGCAATCAAAGACAAGGTTACTTTCCTTAGAATGGATACAAATACCTGGTTTTGCATTCAATTTTGGAAAGGATGCCAACGGTAAGGATTTTTAAGAAAATGTCACTGGAGACCAGCTCAGATAAATATAATTTTGTTTTTGTTTTACCACTGCATTTACTTATCAATCAATGTTTATTTATATAGCCCAATATCACAAATGTTACATTTGTCTCAGTGGTCTTCACAGTTTGTACAGAATATCAGTATGACAATACGACACCCTCTGTCCTTAGACCCTCACATCGTACAAGGAAAAACTTCCGGAGAAAACCCACAGTTTAAAGGGAAAAATGGGAGAAACCTCAGGGAGAGCAACAGAGGAGGGATCCCTCTCCCAGGACGGACAGACGTGCAATAGATGCCGTGTGTAAATTGAAAAGATAATACATTTGCAACATAGGTAGTCCAAATGTTTGGAAATGCATGTGTGTATAATAGGAAGATAAAAATCTGCCTTTCAGATAAAAAAAATCAATGATATGCCAAAACTGCTTCTAGGCTGTTACTGTTGTGAGTCATTTTAACAAGGGCTACTTCTAGAGTGGATCATTTGTTTCACAGAAAGACAACCAGTTTAGCACAGACAAGTAAGCATTAATTAGCATTAGAGTTCAGTCCAAACACGTAGTTAAACTCATCATGAAGTCCAGTCACATTGTTCGAGGGTGTAAGAGAACAAACAGCATGATGGAGTGAGTTATAATCATTTTTAAACCTGGCATGTAGACTGTTGCAAACAAGCCAAAATAAATGTGAGTCTACCTACAATATCTTTTTTCTTGCGTCATTGTAAACCTCCACACATCCTGATACTAAAAGTCTGCCCCCTCATGATTCAATGTGAAACCAGCAACAACTTATTTTGTTACATGTTAACTAAATATAAGCTTTAAAAAAAAAGGCATTCTCAATTCACTGAAAGACGCCGTTTCCTGTAAACAACCTACTCATATTTTAAAACAGTCTTGTTTCACGGAAATCGAGTCAAATCACTTTTGAGATGTAGTTCCTAGAAAGAACTCACTTTCTTAAAAACTTTTCTGAGCCTCATGTATCTACTTTATTTGTTTCTAGGTATGGATGATGGAGGTGTTGAAGGTGATAGTGGAGTGTATAATTATTAGGGATGTAACGATACCAAAAACTCACGGTACGATATTTATTGCGATACTGAAAAAAGGTATGTAAATGCAGCTCTGTTAATACGATGTCCTTTTGTGTTATCTGTTGTTTTATGTTCATGTTGTAACCTACTTGCTGCCATGTTGGACAGGTCTCCCTTGAAAAAGAGATCGTCAGTCTCACGACGGTATTGAGTCATTTATTTATCGCGATATTCGATATATCGTTACGTCCCTAATAATTATACATCTGTGTTTGAGATGTACACACACCAGCTAGAGGGATCTATGTCTGATTTGTCTGCGAGTGTGTTTGTGTGTTTTTGTGTTAACAGCATGACTCACAGGATAATTGCCCACATGAAGCCAGGCATTAGAGATCCTTTCTCACCAGGGACGGGAAACACACACACACACACACACACACACACACACACACCTCACCTCTCCTCCAGCTGTTGGAAGCTTTTCCTCAGCTCCTCCACATTTTTATTGGCCTTTTGAAGTGCGTCGCTCAGAACTTTCTCCCTCTCCTCAGACTTCCTCTCCAGCTCCTCTCGCTTCTTCCTCTCCGACTCTACGTCTCTCACTGCTATCCTTTCTTTTTCCTTGTTGATTTTCTGATACTCCCCTTTCATGTTCTCCTTCTTTTGTTCAAACTCCTCTCTCATGGCTCTCTCTGCGTCTCTGTGAATCTGCTCTAACTCCTCTCTTGTGGTTTTCACTTTCTCCTCTACATGTCTCTGGACTTCCAGGTGACATGCCCTCTCCCACTCCAGCCTGCCCAGCTCCAGTGCCTCTCGCTGGGCCTTCTCTCTCTGTTCCCGGAGCTCTTCCTCCAGCTGAGCCACTCGACTGTTGAGCTGGTGGAACTCGTGGAAAATGAGGTAGCTCACACCGCAGTAACGACACATCGTCTCACTGCGATCCATCTGAGAGGAAAAACACAGAAAAATAATGGAAATTATAATCTATTGTGTGTGTAGCCGTGTGTGTCGAGGCACTGACGAAGATTATGGCAACATGTGGATATTTTTCGAAACAAAAAGTCCAAATTAAAAAAAAAATGTAAATCAGTGGGAGAAAAAAAATCACAATTCTGAGTAAAAAGTCAGATTTAAAAAAAAAAGTCAGAATTACTGAATTAAATCTCAGAACTCAATATTTGTTCAACTTTTGTCAGATCTTCCAACAAAATATTCAGATGTGGCCCATATTACATTACATTGCATTTAGCTGACGCTTTTATCCAAACGACTTACAATAAGTACATTCGACCAGGAAGACACAACCTTGAAGAAAACAGAATCATATAAGTACATCAGGTTTCATATAGAGCCAAACATTTCAAGTGCTACTCAACTGGCTTTAGATAAGCCAGTCCTTTATTAGTATATAAGTGCTTTGTTAATTGTTCTAACGCTCGAAGTGGAGTCGAAAGAGATGAGTTTTCAGTCTGCGCCGGAAGATGTGCAAGCTATCTGCCGTCCTGATGTCAATGGGGAGCTCATTCCACCATCTTGGAGCCAGGACAGCAAACCCACGTGTTTTCGCCGTTGGGAACTTGGGTCCCCCTCGCAGCGAGGGTGCAGCGAGCCGTTTGGCTGATGCAGAGCGGAGTGCACGTGCTGGGGTGTACGGTTTAACCATGTCCTGGATGTACGAAGGGCCAGATCCATTCGCAGCATGTCTTGAAGTGGATTCTAGCAGTTACCTGGAAGCCAGTGAAGGGAGCGGAGGAGCGGAGTGGTGTGGGAGAATTTAGGAAGGTTGAAGACCAGACGAGCCGCTGCATTCTGGATGAGCTGCAGAGGTCGGATGGCACATGCAGGTAGACCAGCCAGGAGGGAGTTGCAGTAGTCTAGGCGTGAGATGACGAGAGCCTGAACCAGAACCTGCGTCGCTTTCTGGGTCAGCTGGGGACGTATCCTCCTGATGTTGTAAAGAGTGTATCTGCATATCCTCCTGCTGCGGGAAGGCACCGTGATTATTGTCATATTGGAAGAAAAAAAATGCAAAAAAACGTGCAACTGAGGGTAAGGTTTTTGGATAACATTATTTTAAAGAATCCCAAGTACATGTACTGCACCTCTTGTGTTTTTAGACCATGTAAGTCTATGGTCTTGGTCTGGTTTTGTATATTGTCTTTTAATCAGAAAACAGAAAACAAAAAAAGCTCAGTTTTAGTTTAATACATGCATTTTGATTGATAACGTAATCCTGTTACATGTAATCCATTACTCCCCAAGCCTGTATATACATTTTCTTTATCAGCAAATAAGTCTATAAATAGCATTCACTTCTGTATGGTCTATTGTATGGGGCCTTTAGAAGTGAAGTAGCTGTCTATAAAAACATTTAGACTGACAACTGCAGGCTCCGTTTATCCATCACAATCTCTAGGAACCGCGGGTGTCAGAAACATATTTTTATCTGTCAGCGGTTCAAAGCAGAGGAACACAGATACTCTAATCCCTCCTTCAGATATTGTTTTTACTGCTGTCTGTTAGAAATAACATCTCCCAAAATAATCTCCCTTTCTCTGTTCGAGAACGTTCTCTCCAAGCTGTTGTCACTTCTTTCAGGATTATGAGGGATAAGATCACATCCTGCAGCGTTCATCTTTACGGTGCTATGTGGCAGAGCTGGTATTTGGATGACATGATGACAGCCCCCACGTCAGATATATCTAAAATAGGCTGCCACATGATGTAAACAGGTGAAAGAAATGTGCAAATGAAGCTACCATAAAAGGTCACAGAAAAGAAAATCATTAAATCACTGCTGTTAAGGTGAAGAAGTGTAGAAGATTGCCTTTGTCCATTTGGTCATTAAATATCAATATCTAAAAAAATTAAGGATAATATTAATATATATGTGCAGACCCGGCGGCAGACACAGGTCTCTGGGCGGGCATTTGATTTATCAGGGCGGGCCCGGGAAATCTGAATTGTCAACGGGGGGGGGAGGCTGTTAGACGCTCGAGATTTGTCAACGGGGGGTGAGGGAGGCGCTCGTGAATTGTTGTTACGGTAAGAGAGGGGGTTTAGGTTGCCATAAGGCTGTTGACGGTCTTATTATAGGCTACATCCATTGGTTGGTTGGTTTTGTGGCACATTTGTAACGCTGTGCCAACTTGTGCAAGCACGCAGGCAAACTTGAGGAGCGCACACAGGGTGGAAAGGTGGGGTGAGGTTGAGCGATGGAGAGAAAGGGAGAGAGAGAGAGATTGAGCGAGGCAGAGAGCATGTGCAGCGGTCTGATTGCGCACAGAGCAGGAGTTTGTGAGAGAGCCGGCTTGAGAGTCAATTTCTCTTCAAAATATAATTGATTGCCAGCCTCCCTTGTCCCTGGCTGGCTTGCTAGCTCGTTGGTAACGTAACTGATGTCTTCTAATGTGCCTGCATCTGGCGCTGAGTAGCCATATTCCTTTCATGAACCACTTCCTGATATCCATTGTTGCAGATAAATATAAATGATAATAGCCAAACTAACCTAGCAAGAGTGAACTGACAGGCTGCTGTGCCGCATCTCACTCAAAAACCCACACGACTCAACCCAGCGAAAAACCAGTCTCGCGCGCAGCCTTTCATTCTGAATTTCATTCAGAATTTCATAGCAAATTAAAAAAATTATATTAAACTAATCTTTCAACATAATTTAAAACAAAACTAAATATTAGGACAAAGCCCTACAAATAACAATAAACATAATAATAAAACAATTAAAATGTTGTATTCAGCCCTGATTAAAACAGCGGGCCCAAATCCTGGATGGACGGGAACGGCCCCATGGGGCCCGCCCATGACGCCGAGTCTGTATATGTGTCTGCTATGACCTTCTGTCCAGTGACACATATTGTCCAGACTTTCCATTTTCTATTTACTTATGCAATAAAGCTCTAGCTTTACAAACAAAAAGCACATGTCAACAATGTTTTGATATGTCCGCACTCAAATTTTAACCCTAAGAAATTCATTATAATTATAATTTAAATCATGAGAGCCAGCAAGTCGGCCAAAGCTAGATACTGTAGATAGCTCAAATGTGCTAGCTAGCTTGTTAGATAGGTAGCTAGTAAGCTAACTAAGATATATAGTGAATGTTAGCTTTCTAACAATCTACAGTAGCTAGCAAATGGTACAGTAGCTATCCACCTAACAAGCTAGTTTGTTAGATAGCTAACATTCACTCGCCAGCTTGTTAGCTAGATAGCTATTGTCTGCTGGCTAAATAGCACAATGACAGGTTCATTAGGGCCCGAGCACGAGAGTGCTAGGACCCCAACGGCGTCCTAGCACGAAGTGCAAGGATACCTATTGTTATTCGTGGAATTATTAGGGCCCGAGCACGAGAGTGCTAGGACCCAACGGCGTCCTAGCACGAAGTGCAAGGATACCTATTGTTATTCGTGGTATTATTATTATTATTCCATATTTCAATGCTTATTTTCAGGCCTTTAGGATGCTGAGAAAGTTGTATAATTTTGCACAGATTCCAGAATCGGTGAAAAATTTGATATTCTGGAGTCAATGTGTTCAAATTGTCCAACATGCTCTCTAGCGCCACCTATGGCCATTTCCGTTTTTTGGAAAGATGTACAAAGTTGCACCGTAACTCCAAATGACCTGAAATTTTTCACACTTACTCGGGTGGACCTGCTCTACATATAAGGTCCAGGTACCCGTAAGCTCCGCCTACTTTATTTTTTTTTAAATTAGCATAATTTGAAAAACAGTTAAATATTCACTTAAATTTCAAATTTTGGTTTTTCAACACCAAACTCAGTATACAGTATCGCCGGAGGGTCAGACACATTATCGTAGGAAATGAGCATGTTCAGTTGATAAATGTGGTCGTCATTACTCTAAATGTCTTCGCAAAAAGGCGGGGCTTAGATAGAAATGCTCATAACTCATCAACAATGTACCAAAAAAACACACATTTTGGTGGTAAGGTTCAATCTGTATTGGGGAAGAAGCACAAAAAGTAATTTCCATTTTGGACTATAGGGGGCGCCAAAAACATGACAAATGTCTAACTCATGAACTGATGGACGAAATATTTTTCTTTTTTTGTAGACATACTCTGGGGATGAGTATGGACTTATATTTAAAGTGTCACAACGAATGACAAATGTGGGCGTGGCCTGTACTTTTTTTTTTTATGACGATGAGCTAAAATGGTTTTCGTTACGCAAAAATTGGTACACGAGTCACAGCCCACGACTTTTTCCATAATGTAAAAAAAAAACGTACATTTTCAAAACAACTGCTCACTAGCGCCCCCTATTGTGTGGTAGTCGCATATAGTTTCTCAGAACTTCACGAATGTTGGCACAGATATTCCTCATGGAATTGCGGACATATTTGTACATACATTCCATTAGCCCCGCCCCCCAAAAAGTCGGCCATTTTGAAATATGTGCGTTTTTTATGCATTTTAAGCACATTCGTGCGGATTCCTCCTAGGGGAATGATCGGAAAAATTCCAATCCAGGACACGTTCAGCCCCTATCCAATATGATACTTAATGGAGAAGAACATTTTTGATAGCTCAATCGTGGAGGTCGTAAGCTAACAGCGAATACACCATTGTTGACGATTTACATGTCGCAAATTACTCCAAATTACTCGGATATAGTTAATCCGATATTCACGAAACGCTGTATACATATTGCTATTATGATTGCACACATATTTCAAATTGCCTTTCATTAGCCCCGCCCCCCAGAAAGTCGGCCATCTTTTAAAATGTGCGGTTTTCAACCATTTTACGCACGTTCTTGCGAACTCCTCCTAGGGGAATGATCGGAAAAAATCCAATCCAGGACAAGTTCAGCCCATTTCCAATGTGATGCTAAATTGCGAAGGAATAGTTGATCGCTCAAACGACGACTTCGTAAGCGAACGGAGAACTTTCCATTTTTGAC